AAAAAAAAATATCTTTTCCATTCGAGTCTACACTTTGGAACGAGCACCTAGCTTCATTGACGAACAGACTGACACACCATTTAGTGTTTCATGTCACATTTTAATTCAAACTTATTCAAAAATTAATAATTCCGTATTTCAATCAATGCAATCACTACATAGTATAAAACAAAGTCGCTTTCTCTGTCCCTGTATCCCTATGTACGCTTAAATCTTTAAAACTACGCAACGGATTTTGATGCGGTTTTTTAAAAGACAGAGTGATTGAAGAGGAAGGTTTATATGTATAATGACATCCATTAAATAGTGGAGACATTTAGTATCAGGATTACACCCAATTTGAATGTTACTTTATTAGAAGTTAAAAAAGGGTCCAAAGTGTATTTTGAAACGAATTTTTGGTCAAAAAAAATAAAATCTATACATTTTCTATATCTTTTTTATTCTGAGCTAGATTGACCAGCTGGCCAGCACTATTCAAATGCACGTCGAGTGCTTTCTTCAAATTATTTTCCGTCGCCTGTTTAAAAATAGGTTTTAAAATGGCCGGTCTAACGAATTTTTTCTTATTGTATAACTGTGGTATTGTTCTTCGTCGTAACTTCTCGTCGAAGCGAGAGTCATCCCAATTGAGATAAGTATTCATTTTCATGTGATATTTAAGTTCCTCTGAGAGCTTTTCGTGTTTACTGACATCCTCTAGAATGATTAAAATAACCCTCTCTCGTCCCTCTTTCAAGGCCAAATTGTGTGCGGTCCTAAATTCCAAATTAGCGAAAGTCGAATCGAGAAAACTATTCGATAGTAAAATTATTGTTTTCCGAGAATTCAACACTGATCGATTGATTTGATCCGGTATAAAGTCTCCGACTTCCCAGTCGCGATAATGGACGCAAACTTTTAATTTGAAGTCGTTTTCTAGTTTCGGTAGTAATTTATTGACGTATTTCTGATCTTTATGAGCATAAGATATGAATATGTCGTATTCTTTAGGACTATTATCAGGATCATCGATAAAGCAACACGGGAAGATTCTGTGGCCAAAATGATCTACTATTTGCCTTGAGAAAATGAATGCTAGCGTAAATAATATGAGTAAAAATAAGAAAATGCCTCCTATTTCCGCTATGATCAAAGTATTCGAATGACACAGAGTTGAGATTTCCAACTCCGAAATCGATACTCCATTCGCACAGCTGACTGTATCTAGATCTTTAATATTAGAACTGCCTCTTAAAGCTATCACACTATCTCTAGCAAAACAACTACAATCGAATGGATTACTCGATAGATACAAACTTGTATTCGATTCTATAAATCGAATAGGAATTTCTGTGAGATTGTTTTTCGATAAATCGATTTCTTTTACCGATTCTGATGGTGAAAATGGGATTTCTTGTAACCCTATGTTAGTTAAATTTAGTAGACTAAGAGTTAGGTTGCTTAAATCGTTTGGTGGGTATTGTAGCTTTAGAGAAAGCTGTTCAACTCCATATTGTTCAGTATTAGGAAAGAATGGGGGCGCAAAATCGCAATCGTAATACAAATCTCTATAAGCCGGCCTAATTAATACAGAAGTACAATTAAAACGGACCTCCTCCGTCATTTCTTCGCAGTATAAGTCGTATGGGGATAAGTTTTTGAACAAATCCCCTTGTAAGTGGGGTGGGGATTTGCATTGGGCGTTGCCTACGTTGAATTTCGGTTCGGTGGTTGTCGGTTTTAGTCCTTGGAGACGCATAGCAAGGTTATACATACGGCAATCACAATTTAAAGGGTTGTTGTCTAGGAGTATAGAACTGTTTGGTTGTGTGACAGGCGCCGAAGAATCACTCTGTGTCGCCGGTTGATATAAATTGACACTGCTTATATCATTGTGTTGCAAATTCACTGTTATCTTGTTGCTTAAAAACTGACAGCTATTCGGCTGAAACAGAAAGAAAAAGAAAATTATTAATTAACTATCTTAATAAGTAGTCTTCTTTGAACGTGGCAAGTACCAATGTGTAGGTTTTTCCGAGTTATATTTTCTATTTTTGTATAGTGACTATCGTGAGACGTGGTAAATTTATTGAAAATTAGCTTCTCTCGCGCGGTTTCACCCGCTGCTCGGGTCCATTTGATCGTAGCGTGATGTTTTATAGCCTATAGCACTCAGGAACATTCTAGCTATCTATCAGTGATAGAATTTTGGAAATCCAACCAATCCGGCACTAGTACGATAGTATGTTATAGGTCGGCAAACGAGCAGGCGTATTACCTGATGGTAAGCAATCAGCACCGCCCATGGACACCCGCAACAATGGAGTTACGAGTGCGTTGCCGACCTTTTAGGGATTAGGGATTTGGAGATTTACGGATTGGGGGAGGAGAAGGTAACCTCACTCACACGGCGAAACACAACGCTGTGGTTGTTTCACGCTGGTTTTCTAGCCGACCCATTCGTGCCGAAGCATGACTCTCCCACACTTAAAAACAAATTGATATTTTGTGGGGTTTTTCTAAAAAAAGCATTACTTATACAGAATAATATTTGAAGTTATATAAGAGTTGAAACAATATTGTTTTGACTATCTACTACGTATTTAATTTGATATTTATTATCGGTCAATATTGTTCTAATTGTTCTGTATTTAATCGATCGATTCCAATACCGTTCACTTTACCGGAACTAAAATACAATAGTATAAACATACAATAAAAATATTGAACATAGAAAACCTATTAATATTTTAAATAAATTTAAGCTAGAACAAATTTAAAATAATAACGTTCATTTAGATTTGCTTAAGTGACCATACGTTTCAAAAAGCGAAACCAAGACTGTCCAATCTAATTTACAATTAACTATAAGTCCAGGTTTCCTCGCGATGTTTACCTTCACCGTATGTCAGTGGTGTCTAAATAATCATAGATAGTACATATAACTCGGAAAAAGCCACATTGTTACTTTAATAAATAATGTTTTATATCCTACTAAGATTATAAATATGAAAGTTTGGGAGAATGTATGAATGTATGTTTAATTCCTCACAGAAAACGGGCGTGAAACAACCACAGCGTTGTGTTTCGCCGTGTGACTGAGGTTACCTGAGGTCCAATCCTTTCCCTCTCCTTCATTCATAAAATCTTCAAATTCCTAATCCCCAAAAGGTCGGCAACGCACTCGTAACTCCATTGTCGTTGGGCGGCGCTGATTGCTTACCAGCAGGTAATCCGAAAATGAAATTTGGTACATGGATGAGTGATGCCCTGGATTACTATACTAAACTATTTATTCAGAAATCAGTTACTTAAGGTGTAGTTGAGCTTGACGAATTCCTTCAAGCGAATCAAGCCTGAGTTGGGGGACGCCACTCTTCCATAGTCAAATAATTTAAAATAACAAATAAAGTAAGAAATCAGTAATTAAACATTTTTTTTTTCTAGCCTATATTGTCCCACTGCTGGGCAAAGGCCTCCCCATCTCGCTTCCACACCTCCCGATCCTTCGACCGTGTCCACCAGTCTCGACGATAGGCGTCTAGATCGTCACGCCATCTTTTCCGGGGCCTACCTCGCCTGCAGCCTCCATCCTGAGGTGTCCACTGGATGACAATAGTGGCCCATCTCCCTGGATGCATTCGGCTGACGTGTCCGGCCCAGTCCCATTTTAATTTTGCCGCCTTTTGGCCCACGTCAGCGACTCCTGTTTTGGAACGTATCACGGTATTCCGAATGCGATCGGTCCGTTTAATGCCCAACAGGCTACGTTCCATTGCCCTTTGGCAAAACCCGGAGCCTGGACTTCTGACACTCTGTGAGAGACCAAGTTTGCGCACCGTAGGTTAGGACAGGCAAGATACACATGTCGACTAATTTTCGCTTGAGTGAAAGGGGAAGGTCCCCTTTCATATATTGCTTTATGGACCAGTAGCTTTTCCAGGCGTTCTCGATACGGCGATCTATTTCCTTCCCCTGCCTGTTATCGAAAGAAACTAACTGGCCCAAGTAGATGTACTCGTCGACATGGTGTAGAGCTAACACAGAATAATTATTATCAACATATTTTATATACTTACATATAACTCCTCGAAACGATTCCAAGACAGATCCAGTATCTCCAAATTGACTAGCACAAATCTCCAATCGTCGAATATTTTACTTATATTGTTATGGCTCAGATCCAACTTTTTTAATTCACTTAACGTATTAAAAGGGGAATACATTCCCATGTCCATATAATCCCAGTCCAATTGATCTTTTGATTTCAAAGTTAATCTGTTTCCAATTAGAGAAATAGTTTGCAAAGACGTTGCCCCTTGGAAGGCCAAAGCATCTATTGTAGTCAATAAATTATGATTAATTGACACTTCTGTTAGTTTGCGCAGGCCAGCGAAAAGGAATCTGCAAAAAAGAAAAAATACATCACATCATTAGCACTGCTGAGCAAAGGTCTCTTCTCACACGGAGAAGGTTTGAGCATTAATCACCACGCTTGCTCAAGGCGGATTGGCGATTTGAAACTTATTCCGAAATTATAAGTCGAGGTTTCCTCATGATGTTTACCTTCACCGTATGTCAGTGGTGTCTAAATAATCATAGAAAGTACATATCAGGTACTTGTCAGATTTCGGACACGCACCTTTATGTATAAAAAACGAAACAACCACGACAGTCAAAAGACTTAAAAAACAGATTATAAGTAAGCATAAGTGGAGTGGTGATTAATGGGATTTGTTGCTGACGCTACCATTCCAGGTAGATTGCATTCCGTAGGATCGTGATATAACCACAGCGTTATGTCACGCCGTGTAAGTGTAGGCCAGTGGCGTATGCTTACCATTAGGTAATCCGTCGTTTGCCGATCTCTAATAAAAGTGTGTTTGTTTGAACGCGTTAATCTCCGAAAGTTCTGGTTCGAATTGAACGATTCTTTATATGTTTGTTAGTCCTTTTATCAAGGAAAGTTTTAGGCTATAAAACATACAAGCATAATTACAAAAAAATTTGATACTCACTCAGGTAAAACTTCCAAATGATTCCGATCTAGATTTAAATATTTTAACTTCTTAACGGGAGAGAAAACTCCACTTTTCAACATAGATATCTTATTAAAACTCAGATCTAGATGTTCAAGATTCTTTAGATCCTTGAAGAAGCCCTCTGGTATACCGGTTATCCGGTTTTGGGAGAGGTCTAGAGTGATTAGGGCTTCGCATTGTGTGATCAAGTCCTTGGGTAGCTCGGCAAAACAGTCTTTTATGATAAGGTTTTTCAATGATGGTAGGTTGGATATGGAATTAGCGTGCAGTTGCAATTTTATGTCGTTAAGATGTATCGTGATCTGGAATATGGAAAAGAAAAATTATTAATTAGTTATAATTATAATTAGGCTTCCGGCGACTGGGACCACTTACAGATGATCGAAAAAAATAATTATTCAAGCTAAAATTAGTAGAGTCAGGAGAAAAATAAAATGATTTATATTAATTATTGACTTTTTCAAGACGCACTTAATTAGTTATTAAGCTACCTTTGTTTTTAATTAAGATTATAATGAGGTAAAATTTGTAAATTTGTATGTAGGGGGTAATCTTTGGAACCGCTGGTCGGATTGCCAAAATTCTTTCACTGATAGATAGCTACAATGTTCCTGAGTGCTATAGGCTATAAAACATCACGCTACGATCAAATGGAGCCGAGCAGCGGTTGAACTTGAAACCGCGCGAGAGTAGCTAGTATATTATATACTCACATTTTCCAAATGCGTCAGGTTATAAAATAGTCCAGGGGCAATTTCTCCGATCCGATTCTTCATTATGTATATAGATTTTAGCTTTGGAACGTGCTTGAGAGATCCAGGAGTAATATTCGTCACATTACTTGTACCAAATGATAAATTCTCTAAAGAGTCCAATCCTGAAAAGAAATAGAACACAATCATTATCAACGAACAATTGCTTAATTCTTCCCGTGGATGTCGCATACCCGATAAAGCAACTACATATATTAAATGTTGGAGAGCCATGGAGTGATATCACGGCCTCACAGAAAACCAGCGTGAAACAACCACATCGTTGTGTTTCGCCGTGTGAGTGAGGTTACCGGGGGCCCAATCCTTCCCCTGCCCCACTCCCTCCCTAATCCCAAAATCCCAAATTCTTAATTCCCAAAAGGTCGGCAAAAAACTCGTAACTTTAAATGGTAAGCAATCGGCGTCGCCCATGGACACCCGCAACGTCAAAGGAGTTACGAGTGCGTTGCCGGAACTTTGGGGATTAGGGTTGCAGAGATTTTGAGATTGGGGGAAGGGAAAGATTGGTGCTCCAAAAATCTCTTTCACATGACAAAACACAACGCTGTGGTTGTTTCACGTCGGTTTTCTGTGAGGCCGTGGTATCACTCCGGTCGAGCCGACCCATTCGTGTCGAAGCATGGCTCTCCCACACTTAAAAACTAAACTATTCAAAATCACTTACCCTGTAGAGAATCCACTTCGACATTACTGAAGTTATTCCCCCATATATTGAGGATCTTCAACTTTGGCAGACCAGCGAAGGTTCCTGAGGGTAGCTCCGTGATGTGGGCATCAGATAACTCCAAGAACTCCAGCTCAGGTGATAGGGCGAAGGTGGATGCAGTCAGGTTTATTGAGGAACTGGTAATTCGAAGGCGTCGAAGAGTTGGCAGCGCTTGGAGAACCGATGGGGGTATGGTATCTTGAGGGCCTGGTCGAAAGAATACTTGGATTAATAAACTTTTTTTTGTATAATTTTTCAATAGTCAGATAAATGTTATCTGAGGAATAAAATTGTTGCTGTCACTGTCTTGTACAGTAGGGTTCAAAAGTGCAGTTGCACTCTACCAATTTTAAAATGACTAAAATTTCTTTGTAGTAAAAGTTCAATGGTTCACAGCCAGTTTATTCAATAATTTTGATTCTATGCTATAAATTAAAGCAGTCCTCAACCATTGACTCTATTCTACAAAGATATTTTGGTCATTTTAAAATTGGTAGAGTGCAATTGCATTTTTGACCACAAACTGTACAAACACTACCTTTTTTCCGCGACTCCGTTCGCGTGGAACAGTGACTTCCTGCAGATTTTTGCTTCAAAAACTATCCTATGTCCTTTATCGAGTTCCAAACTATGTTGGTACCAAATTTCACAGAAATCGGTTCAGTAGTTTAGGCGTGAAGAAAAGACAGACAGACAGAGTTACTTTCTCATCTATACTAATATTATAAAGAGATAAAATAAGTTTATAAGTTTGTATGTAGGGGGTAATCTTTGGAACCGCTGGTCGTATTGCCAAAATTCTTTCACTGATAGATAGCTACAATGTTCCTGAGTGCTATAGGCTATAAAACATTACGTTACGATTAAATGGAGTCGAGCAGCGGGTGAAACCGCGCGAGAATAGCTAGTTTATAATATTAGTTTGGATTGTGACGCGACAGCATCATAATTATTCCCCAGGTAACTTTTATCTAACCATTGAAAAATTAGCTCTGAGACAGATTTTTTCATCATCATAAATGTCCTGATAAATGCTGTGACTTAAATTGAAACTGGTAGAGGTTTTCACAGTTAATGACACGTGATTTAGAGCAGATTTTTCAATGACTAGATAAAAGTTACCTGGGGAATAATTATGTTGCTGTCGCGTCACAATGTTTGTATAAGACAGTGACAGCAACAATTTTATTCCTCAGATAACATTTATCTGACTATTGAAATATCAGGCCTAAGTCTTTATTTTCAAAATGAATTTAGTCACAACAGTAACACTAACATTGAAAAGACTTTTTCTATTTATTTTTGAATATCATCATCAGCCTATAAGTGCCCACTGCTGAGCAAGGACCTCTTCTCACACGGAGAACTATTTAGCATTATCCACCACGCTTGCTCAAGGAGGATTGGCGAAGGTCAAGCTTATAAGTCCAGGTTTCCTCACGATGTTTACCTTCACCGTATGTCAGTGGTGTCTAAATAATCATAGAAAGTACATATAACTTGGAAGAAGTCACATTGGTACTTGCCAGGTTTCGAAACGTCATGCATGAGAAGCGAGGGCCTTAGCGGGTGTACGTGTCATGTTCGTGAACGGGCGTTGTCAATTGGGACTGGTCAGCTCCAGACTGTCTATTGCCCTTAAGGTTATTTTCTTTTTATGTTTCTCTGTATACACGCGTTACACTGTTCTCACATAATCAAACCAACTAAATAATGTATCGAAGAATCTTTATGTGACACTGATTTAAAAAGAGTAACCATGGAGTTTGTTGCTCGTTCTTCTCCATCGGAATCTACACTTAGGAACGAGCAAATAGCTTCACTAAGAGGACTGACCGACAGACTGACACTTTTTATCTTTAAAATTTTGCTTGACGTTCAAAAGTGCCTGTATGGGTCTAATTGAAATACATGATTTTGACTTTGACCTTGACTTAACTTGCAGGCTACGAGGGGATTATTTTTGACTAGTTGCCAATATTTAAAAGTTCCCTTACCTCCAGTGATCATTATTTCCTGGACATCACCAAGGTTTTCCACATCATCGACTTGCAACGGAGCTTGCAGAGCTGAGAGACTGAGGAAGCTTACTGATGGGGTCATCAGTGCCTCATTGAGGCATGGAATGATGGAAGGAGGGCATTCCCTCAACCAGAGAGACGGGAGGGTCTGGTTGTTGGCGAAATTGAAGTGAGGGAAGTCTGAACATGTGAGGTTTATACCCTGAAAAAAGAGAAAAATATTTATCAATACATATATGTCAAATAGGTACTAGCTTATACCTGCGGCTTCGGAAGCGTGGTATGTTGATTGCAAGCAGCCTATGTGTTAATATAAGGGTATATTACCTAACGAATTTTAAGCAAATCGGTCCACCGGCCAGCCATTTTTGCGGAAAATACTCTTTCACAAATATACATCCATACATTCTGACGACGGTTTTCTGTAATACCACGGCCTCACAGAAAACCGGCGTGAAAAAAGCACATTAGTGTTTTGCCGTGTGAGTGAGGTTACCGAGGGCCCAATCCTTTCCCTAACCCAATTCCACCCCAATTCCTAAATCCTCAAAATGTTGGCAAAGCACTCATAACTCTTCTGTTGTTGCCCGGTGCCCATGGGCGGCGCTGATTGCTTGCCATCAGGTGATCCGTCTGCTCGTTTTCCGTTTTACGTCCTAACAACTTAAACTGGTGTGGTTCTTTCATGAAAAGACCACTACAGAATGAACTTGCACGGTTCTCTCACATTATGTTATTTTCACATTGTCTGGACTTGAAAAGAGACTGACCTCTGAGTTTGTTTCGGCATTTCTTCTCAGAGTAGTCAGATAGGAAATGCCGGCTTCATCTAGTTTTTCACATACATATAAATTGACGTGTAAAAGTGCCGTTTTATGGCCTATTTGCAAAAATAAATTCATTGTTTCATTGTTTGTTTCATTAACACATAAAAAATTGTAACTCCTATATGCAAGAGTGTCCATGATGGTCGATTGCTTATGCTTACCATAAGGTGTACTAGAATCAATGCCGTAAAATAAAAAACCAATCTGTCCTTACCTGACATTTAATGTTGACGTACTCATTATTTCTTGCATTAAAATACAGTTTCTTGCCACCAGACTTGCATACGTACTCCAATTCATCGCCCATCCCACAGCTGCAGTTGGCAGGGCAATATAGGGCGAGTGCAGCCGGGGCCAAAGTCAATAGTAGTATGGGCCACATCCTGCTAAGTGGTTTTCGACCACATCACTGCGGACAAGAAAGAGAAAACAATCACTACATAGTATAAAACAAAAGTCGCTTTCTCTGTCCCTATATCCCTATGTACGCTTAAATCTTTAAAACTACGTAACGGATTTTGATGCGGTTTTTTTAATAGATAGAGTGGTTGAAGAGGAAGGTTTTTTTAATAAATCAACTGTGGCAGATACATCGAATGCATAGCTTCAATGACCAAATAGACCACCACAGACGGAGCCCTACAGGGCTGATGTTCAGCCGGGGTTGCGGGGTAAGCGCAATGAAGCACCGCGACCTCGGCCCAGAGCAGTAGAAAGAACAGGGGGTTTTTAGTCAGTAAGAGTCTGACACTCCCTCCTAAGCCATACCTATATGATGATTTACACCTTAAAATGTCGTGGTGGCCCGGAGGTTAAGGAGCTCGATTCTCATGCATGATGGTGTGGGTTCGAAACCTAACAAGTACCAATGTGACTTTTTCTTAGTACTTTCTATGATTATTTAGACACCACTGACATACGGTGAAGGAAAGCATCGTGAGGAAATAATTTCTAATTTGAAAATGCCAACTCGCATTGAGCAAGCGTGGTGATTAATGCTCTAAACCTTCTCCGTGTGAGAAGAGGCCTTTGCTCAGCAGTGGGCACTTATAGGCTGATGATGATGACACCTTAAATAACAACGAATGTAGAATGATTTTGGACAAAAAATCCGTCATCATTTCCTTTAATACTTAGTTTAAGAATGAATCTCAGAATGATTATGACACTCTGTGATTCATTTAATTAAACAGATGCCAGTGTATAGATGAGTAACTAAACTGATCTGAACTGGTTATCTTCAGTTTTACTGTAAAAAGAGTCATGCATCCAAACTAAGAGGTATTATAAATGCGAAAGTAACTCTGTCTGTCTGTCTGTCTGTGAATTCTTCACGCCTAAACTACTGAACCTATTTCTGTGAAAGGTAAAGACCATTGTTAGGTCAAAAGTCAAAAATCATTTATTCCAATTAGACCTTCACGGGCACTTTTGAACGTCAAACAAAATTTTAAATATATATTGTCAGTCTGTCGGTCCGTCCTCTTAGTGAAGCTATTTGCTCGTTCCAAAGTGTCGATTCCTATGGAGAAGAACGAGCAAGAAACTCCATGGTTACTCTTTTTATTTATTTATTTATTTATTAAGGTAATTACAACAGGTAACAATCAAAGCATGGTGATTATAATAGTATATAGGTTAAGTACTGATTGATACCCTAACGTAATCACTTAATAACGTAATCGTTTTTAAATCAGTTTCACATACAGATTCCTTTTGCAAACAGTTGGTTCAATTATGTGAGAACAGTATAACACTAATATTTATTCAAATATAAAAATAAAGTAACCTTAAGGACAATAGACAGTCCGGAGCTGATCAGTCCCAACTGACGGCGCCCGTTCACGAGCATGACAAACATTTGGAACGCGAGAAAGGACATAGGATAGTTTTTATACCATAAATATGCCGAAAGTCACTTTTTACAAGTAGTCTTTTATAAAATGTGGAAGAGCCATGCTTCGGCACAAATGGGTCGGCTCGACCGGAGTGATACAACGGCCTCACTAAAAACCGGCGTGAAACAACTACCTACAGCTTTGTGTTTCGCCGTGTGAGTGAGGTTACTGGAGGCCCAATCTTTCCCTTCCCTAAGGCCTCAAAGGTCAGCAATGCACTCGTAACTCTATCCGAGTGTCCATGGGCGGCGCTGATTGCTTACCATCAGGTAATCCGTCAGCTCGTTTGCCGACCTATGTATCATATAGAAAAAAAACATCGAATAACTATGCAGACTATCTATTTTTAATGCTTCGTGTAATCTGCACATATAAGTATATTTTAAATAGCTTCAGCCATTTGAGCCAATTATCGCATGTGCATACTACATACAAAAACAACTCTTATAATCACAATTTTAAGTACGAATACTGTCTAAAATAGCACAGCAAGGAGGCGCAGCAAAAAACCGTTACAACAGTTTTATTTTTATTTCAGAGTACTTAAACTAAGAAACGTTCAATGGAAGACTGAAGCAATAAAATCATTAAAATTACTAAATAAACTAGCTAAAGTAAAATACATTTGACCACCCCAATTCTTCCGGTGGGTGTAGCATGCCCGAATATAGGAGTACATATTTAACAGTCCGAGGTTTATAGGTCGACAAACGAGTTAACGGATTACCTGATGGTAAGCAATCAGCGCTGCCCATGGAGTTACGAGTGAGGTGCGGGCCTTTTAGAGATAAGGGTTTTGGATATTTAAGGATTGGCATGGGGGGAGGGGTAGGAATTAGGCTTTCGGTAACCTCAATGGCGAAACACAACGCTGTGGTTGTTTTACGCCGGTTTTCTGTGAGGCCGTGGTATCACTCCAGTCGAGCAGACCAATTCGTGCCGAAGCTTGGCTCTCCCACAATTAAAGACATTCTTTCTCAATATGGCAATACTCCGAAAGAAGACCCTCGCGATTGATTGAGAGGAACTTGGCCTGAGAATCACCTTCTCCGAAGCATGTCATTCTTAGAAAAAAGGGAGAATGGAGTACGGGAGAAAACTAACTCCTCATGCCTCAGCAGCTGCAAAAGACGCTTTAGGAGTCAGGGATCGAGAGACGATCTCCGCTGCCGAAACAGACCCGAGCTTACTCAAAGAGCTGACAGGACAATTACAAAAGGATCCGATGTCCTACTCAGTTCAGAGCAGGAGAAGGAACAAGGGATTTTTAGTCAGTAAGAGTCTGACACTGTCTTTCAACTTAGAAATAGTCGGAAAAGCATTTTGATGATCTTCTTCTTATAAATAGACCATTTAATTTTGGCATATTCACGCTAAACATATTCTACACTTTGTGTGTTTTTAAGCTGACTGCATTATTTTTACATTTTGCAGGCATCGCGTCTGATGCCAGATTAATAAGCGATTATTAATAGAATCGATCGCTTAACGAGTTGACAGATTACCTGATGGTAAGCAATCGGCGCCGCCCATGGAGAGGAATTACAAGTATTTGGGTTGTTAGGGTTTCTAGGATGCACGCACGAAACGGTTTGCCTCCAGTTTTATCATCAGAACCGCTAAGGAGTGGAATTCTTTGCCGGAGTCTGTGTTCCCCGAAGGGTATAACCTGGGTGTCTTCAAGGCCCGAGTGAATAGGTTGCTTATGGGTAGACGTGCTCCATCGTAGGTTGTATCATCGCACCACCAGGCGTGATAGTGGCCAAATATCTGCTCATTCCGAAAAAAATATTCCAGATTTGTAATGTGGTAGATTACCTTACTCACAAGGCGAAAAAAAGCTATTGAGAGGTCGTGGTATCAGGCAGACCCATTCGTGCCGAAGCATGGCTCTCCCACAATTGAACTGACTATACACCGAGTTGTGGGCTAATGGACGGCGCCTGGGAGACGAGTTTTTGAGCAGTCTGTTAAAAAATTGGCACTGGAGCAGCGCACAGTGCACTCGGTACCCATAAAACTTTGCTTCTTTTAGTATTTAATAGTTTGGTAAAGAGATAGATTACAGTCACTATTGTCTAAAATTACATGGCATACTTTTTACCTCGGTAATACCGAAACAGCTAGTAACAATCACTACATAGTATAAAACAAAGTCGCTTTCTCTGTCCCTATATCCCTATGTACGCTTAAATCTTTAAAACTACGCAACGGGTTTTGATGCGGTTTCTTAATAGACAGAGTGATTGAAGAGGAAGGTTTATATGTATAATGACATCCATTAAATAGTGGAGACATTTAGTATCAGCATTGCACCCGTGCCAAGCCGGGGCGGGTCGCTAATTATCTATACTTCTATACTGATATTATAAAGAGGTAAAATTTGTAAGTTTGTATGTAGGGGGTAATCTTTGGAACCGCTGGTCGGATTGCCAAAATTCTTTCACTGATAGATAGCTACAATGTTCCTGAGTGCTATAGGCTATAAAACATCACACTACGATCAAATGGAGCCGAGCAGCGGGTGAAACCGCGCGAGAGTAGCTAGTATAATAATAAGTCAAGCTACAGTGAAGATGTACTGATAACATCTCGCCTCCAAGAATTATTAGGAGTACGGCTAAAAATAACTACCTAGACATAAATATTATAAAGATGTGTCAAATTAAATGAAATGTTGCAGTATCGCTGTTATCATCATCATCAGCCTATAAGTGGCCAAGGCCTCTTCTCACACGGAGAAGGTTTGAGCATTAACCACCAGGCTCGCTCAAGGCAGATTGGCGATTCCAAACTTATAATTACAAATGTACACATAAGATTTCCTCACGATGTTTACCTTCACCGTATGTCAGTGGTGTCTAAATAATCATAGAAAGTACATATAACCCGGAGAAAGTCACATTGGTACTTGACAGGTTTCCCTTGCTTTCATGCATGAGAAGTGGGTCACCACGTCAACAATAGCATCCATAAAGAACACATTGCATCTCTTCATCATCACTCCATTGTTGGAGTATGTCCCTCCTCTACATAAGAGGGATTTGCCACAATCTCCGCAGACAGGCGGGTTGGAGATGGCAGTTTAAAAGGTTCAGGTTTATCAGAGCGTGCTGGTGCCCGATCTTTGTACTCCCTTAGTCGGGTATATGATACCCACGTAAAGAATAGCGGTGGTAAATGGTCACTCTCATTTTAGCGTGATGTTTTATAGCCTATAGCAATCAGGAACATTGTAGCTATCTATCAGCGAAAGAATTTTGGCAATCCGACCAGCGGTTCCAAAGATACCCCCTATATACATACAAACTTACAAATTTTACCTCTTTATAATGTTAGTATCTATAGACGTGTCCGGACATCCAAATAAAGTGTAAGAATAGTTACAAATATACGCTAATAGCTTCCGCCCGCGTGGTATGTTTTCATTTTTCATTTATTTTTTGAAACGTTGCACCACACAAGGATTTTCTCCTGTGTCGTG